AGCATATTTTTACAAGATAACTGGCAGAAGATGGAGCCCTTGTACAAGAAATTTTGGTGAAAATTAAAGTTTTCTTTCGTTGACAAAGTTTCCTGTAAAAAAACAATGGGGAACAACAAAAAATTGAGTTTTTCAACTGCACCCTTTCCTTTAAATTTCTTTCAAGTATTGTTATATTTCTTTTTGGATTTTTTCGAAATTTTCGCCAAAAAGTGGGAATCCTAGCTTACCCTCTTCAAAAGATCAGCAGTGTTACTCCTTCCGAATTGGGATGATCTGAATTAGGACTGGCACCGTTACATGTGAATTTGGTCACTATATACAAATAAACAATAAATGATATGGTTGGATCTGGAGGGCACATAAAAAATTTCTTATCTTTTTTTTTAGTTTCATTTTTCTTTCTTTCATATACCTGTACATATAATACACCAGTAGATATTAGACTTGTGGTATTATATAATATTTATTGTTTATACTAGACGTGTTAGCATTTACAGTTTCTATTCTCTTTTTGCTTTTTCTTTGGTTCTTTCTTTTATTATTATTATTATTTTTTTTTGGTTGTATTTTTGGTTGGTTATTTGGTTAATCGTTTAGGTATTGTCCCCCCTTTAAATCTTTTTCCCTTTTTTATTCTTCTTTATGAGAAGCTCGGAGAAGAAGCTTTTAGGTGAAATGGATTCTGTGGTTGGTTTTCTGAAGCCAGGTGGTGCTATACTTCTTGCTGATAGGGAAAACCGTTGCTTAAATATAAGCAAACCATTTCAGTGCAGTAGCCAAAGTTGGCACCAATTCGAGCAGCCGGCTTAGTTTGATCTTTACAGTTAGTATATTAAATTATGCAGCTTTTATGTAATTTGCTAATAAAGATCAGACGGCTATGAAGTTTAAAAAAAAAAATAATACAAAACCTTAATCAACTCTTTCTGATGATCCTTTGAACCAACGATCACCAAACGGACCTGCAACAACACTTATAGTTAGTAACATTTACTTTACACAAGATTTCACCTGTAACAACTGGAATAAGAAGTTTAGAGCTTGATGAGTTCTTGGACTTACAGAATAATTGAAATAGAGTTGAAATAGATGTTCCTTTTGGGTTTGTGACTCCCTGGTAGAAGACTACGAAACTATAGAAGTAGTTGGTAAAAACCAGAAGCACTTGTCAAGTATTTGTGGAGCTGTGGCAAAGTAGAAGCAGAAATTTGGTTGACTTTACTATTCTATATAATGCAAACTATTACACTCTTTTTACGTTGGTTTATTTTTGCCTACTACTCAGTTTTTCTCTTAATTTTTCCAAAAAGTGGCAATTTCACATACTCTCTCCAGAAAATCAACATTGTTTATATCCAAGAATAGAAATGCTAGTGCACGAAGTCACAACAAATCACGTGCTCGCAATGCTACCAAGTAACTATATAGTGCCGGTGAATGACTAATATCTAATGGACAGGATTAAATTAAATTATGGATTGGTGGATCTCAATCTCTTAAAAGATATAGAGTTACGTAGTTACATTCTTCATTATAATACAGCACTAAGATTATTTAGATTGTACTGTATAATTTTTACGAGTTTAGTATAGACTTCGACTATACCTATCTAGATTTATTTTGTTTTCTTTCTGTTTTTTCTTTTTCTATTTTTTTTTTGTTTTTCTTTTTTTTTTCTCTTTTTTCTTTTCCTTTTATATTTTGTTGTTTTCTTTTTGTGTTTGTTTTTATTTTCCCACATTTTTTCTTTATGTGCTCATTGTGAAAAAGTTAAAATTTTAAGAAAAGAAAAGCGGTCTTGATATGGCATCCAATACCAGTTAGTGATTGACGAAATATAACTCGAAAATTAGATTCTAAGACCAAATTGAGACGAATAGTTGGTATGGTAGATCGCTTTGGGCAGGTTACTTAGTTATCACTTGGAGAGTTTTTTTTACACAGAACATTTGTAGTCATATTTGTACTTGTACAAGGCAGCTTAGACTTTACAGTTCACAATAAAAAAAGGCAAGATCGCCAAATGCAAAAAAAAAATACAAAATCTTAACGATCTTGTAACCCTGTGATTGGAATTAAGACGAACATTTTGGTAATAAAATTATTCAAAACGGACTAGTAGAAAAAAAGCTACTTAATATTAAATAATATTTATATTATATATATATTATTATTGTCTGGAGCATAGCAGAGGACTTTTAAGGGTTATGTATAGTTATACAAAAATTAAGGTTTTGATACATCAATAGTTACATTTTTGATTTTTTTAACCTATTGCATCAAAAACATAATTTTGAAAATTCATGTCTGTTCGCATGTGTAATGCATGATTACTACTAGCTTATTTTGAACAACAAATAATTTAATTCACTTTTATTGATATAGTATAGTGCGGGACACCTAAAGGCTTCTCAAACTTTAAAAGCAAATAGCATTTAATATAAAAATAATATCAAAAAAAATGGGCTGCTATTTTGTAGTTTAACTAATTTACTACAACTTAGCAGCTCTAATTTTTTAAAACTTATTATATATTTTCAATATATATAAGTTTAAAAGTGTACTATTTTTATATGATACAGAAAAAATTACTTCAAAATGGGACAAGTCACGTGTTTTGGCTTACTCCTATTGGTTAATTTTAAAATATTTTAAAATTAATTATAAAAATTAATTTTAAAAATTAATTTTTAACCAATCAAAATGCAGAATTTCAAAAAACATCAAATTTGATTATAAATTTTTGAAAATGGGACAAGTCATGTGACTTCCGCCTTTAGGTGTCCTGTACCGTATATACCATAAATAATTAATAATCAGATAATTACAAATGGTTTACTAAAGGTATTTTTACTAAATCGTACTCAAATGAATGCTTTACGCACATAAAATATAAACTTGCTAGAATTTGAAAGGTTTGTTTTAGTCCATTGTTTGTGAAGTTATAGCATGTCTAGGTTTATTGTTTAAATATCAGGTTGTGCTGACTTATGAAGCATTTAATTAAGCTATAGAAGTCATGTTTACTATATACAATATCACTTAGCCTTATTTTATTCACTTACTAATTGATGTATTTAATATTACTTTATTAATAAGTGCGTTCAAAATAAGCTATAAATATTTACCATTGTGCGATAAATCCTTAAGCTTATCTTATATATTTTATTTGTGTTAATTTTGATATATCTAAGGTTAGCTATTCAGAGATCTTTACTTTTACCCAAAACTAATGTAATCAGTAAGCTGAAGGTTAATTATTAATTGTGTGTTTAGTATAATTATTCAAATTCCTGAATTCTTACTGTTGCATAATAATACTTTAATTTTATTTAATTTAGCAAAATTCTTAAGCAACTCCCTCAATAAGATTTGCTGTTAATTGAGATATTGCACAGTCATCGCGATTAACTAAAGTAATCTTTATCAAAAGTTCATAGTGCGAAATGCGAATTAAAACTTTAATCAATCAGAGCAAATCTATAAAAAAAGATTATACTGTATGCCTTTTTTTTCATCGAAATAATAATTTGCTATTTATTCAATTATGACTTCAACTATTCTCAAGCACTTCCTTATAGTTTGTAGAATGATTTCATTTGCTAAAAATAAAACATAATCATTTTTTTTTATAGTTGGTTAAAATTTTAAATCCATATTTCGCACAATGAATTTTAGCAAAATTTTAAAGGAATCATTTCAATTAATTAATTAATCGAAACAATTGAGTGATATCTCGATTATTAGCAAATCATATTGAAGAAGCTGTTTGAGAACAACTTTATTTCCAACCTATTAAGCAAATTCCCTTAGCTGGCAAGTATTGTTTATTATTATAAAATACTGAATTATCCCCAAGATAAAATTTTACCACGTAAGATATCCTATTCGACTGATGAAATCACTAGATTCATGAATATGATTCAATTTTAAAAATAAAGGTCTTGAACAAGACTCTGATTACCATATATAATACTAAATAAAGAAAAATTAATAATAAAAGACTAAATTAATTGAAAAAAGATAAGGGTGCTAATATTTATTACCTAATATCCATTTACTATAGAAGCTTATCTCCCATCCCCAGACAAGATCTATAAATAGAATTTTGGCCAATCAAATTTAACTAAGGTAAGATTTTTCTTGACCCCCACCCCCTAAAATATTACCTAATAAATGTTAGCGCCCTAATTGTAATTAAATAAAAAAAATAATCGTAAGGACGCTAACATTTATTACCTAATATTTATTTACTATAGAGGCCTATCCTCACCCCCAGGTAAGATCTATAAATAGAATTTTAGCCAATCAAATTTAACTAAGGTAGATTTTTCTTGACCCCACCACCTAAAATATTATTTAATAAATGTTAGCACCCTAGTTAAAAAAAATTAAATAAAAAAATCAGAATATTTAGATTTTTTTAATTTTTATGTCTGGACTCATATCGGTTCCCGATTCCTAGTATACTATATATATATATTTTTTTTTAAACTCTAAATCTATTGCTAGGGACGCGTGTAGTGCTCTTTATTCAAATTTCAAAGGTCTTACGTTACATTACATTACATTAGGGGTTTCTATTCTAATTAACCTATACCCCCCTCCTATCGTCCGTTTATTCTGGTGTAATCTAGTAAGCCCACCACGCTCTGGTGCCCTGTACCTTGCAGATCCTAGGTAGCTTTAAGGTCGTCAATGTCCGCCGGTGCACTATATAGGTCGGCCGTTTTTCATACGCCCTAAGAGCACTTTTCATATTCGGTTAGTGCGGTATTGTCAGGTACCTCTTATCTGTTTCTCAATTTTCTTTTTATAGTGTATATCTCTTATGTTTACGATATTTCTTGTTAGATTTTCTTTCCTTTTCTGGACGCTGCATGACCTTTGTAGCTATGTCACACAGCTCTTATCACTGTAGTACCATATCTGTAAACAGAGAAGAAATGCGAATCCTCGACATAGATCCTGACCATTCGTGGTTCTAATACAGTTTTTGTCATCCACTAGATTCGAACCGGCGACCTTGTGAATGCGACCCAAAAGCGCTAACCACTACGCTATCCAACCCAGAATCTATCTATATATAATTTAATATATATATTATATATAAAATATATAGACGTGATCACTACCCTGACCCATGTACCCATAGTATAAATTAGTGATGAATGGCATGTCCCCAAACAATAAAATCTCTATTGATTTTGAAATTCTGTAATTAGAATTTAGTGATTTTAGGCTTATTTTATCTTACTGAGACAAACTTTTTGAACTAGGTTAAAATCGTTACCCAAAAAAATTTCAAAAATCACGTGTATAGACGATCACAATTTGTATAACAGGTAATAAAACATGAATTGTCGGGGATGATGTTGAAATCGGATAATGCTGAAATTTGGGGGTCTTGATTTGAAACTATAAGCCCTGCTAAAATCTACATATACTCTTTAAATATCAAATCTAACCCAAACCTTACTCTACCCCTATAAGACAAAAACGAAAAAAAAACACCAAAAAAATTTTAAAATTTCATATCAAAATAGATCAAAATTTCAGCATCATCCCCGACATTAATTAATGGTTAATTATTTAAATAACTAATAACTAATTCTAAATATAAACACTTAAGCAGTGCTGGTATTAAATTTTGATTTTTCGCTAAGATCTATTTTTATTTAATCGAAAGCTTTGTATAAAATAATAATTAATTTATGTATACATAATTGTTCAAACTATTAATTACTAAACACCAATTCAAACTTGTGTACTCATTTGAAATTTTAATTTTTATATTCAAGTTGTGTAGTATCTGTAATTTCAATGTGTTAGTTTTTATTTGATACATACTAAAAAAACATAAAATTAGAATAATAGCAGTAGATAATATACTTTATTCAACTCAAATAAAATATTAATATAATTGATTATAGCTAGAAAGATTTATTGTTGTGTTTTTTTCAAGTATTAGGAATACCGGTATAACTTTGTCTTTCAAACTATTTACAATTATCTACCAATTTTCATAATGGATCAAAATTCTTTTTGATATTACTAAGCCATTTATTTAAATTCAATACATTGTTTTTAAGAATTTTTTTTGTTTTATCCAACAAATTGAGAATTTTTTTTTTTGGGTTTGGAACAAGATTAGAACTTGATTATCGTCAGCAATCTCATAATCCATTAAATGTGAATTAGTAACAACAATAGGTTCTTGTTGCTCATGAACTTGATTTGCAGAATTTTCTTGATTATTAATTTGTGAATTATCTTTACGTTTATTTTCACAATTAATTCGTAAAAATTTAGACTTTTAATAATAGTATGAAGATTTTTGGGCAAATCAGCAAGGGCATTTTTGTCTTTAACCTCCAACAAAGAATAATATTCCTGGCATGTTACTTTAAAATAAAAAAAATATTTTCAAGTTATATAAATAACAAAGTTATGACTTTTTACCTTTCTAAAAAATCCTAACTTAATGGGACCATAGAGTTGTACTAAATGCTAATATAAATAAAAGCGGCTTAAAAGAAAACTTTGGCATAAACATATCCAATATAAAGAATTAGTAATATAAATAGAATTAACATTAATTATTTGTGTAGCTAAATTATTCCATTCAAGCTGAAATTCTTCATACTGATTTGTTATACACCAATTATTTCGTAATAATTGCAACTGATCAATTTGATATAGTATAACTTTTGCAACAATAATATAAATGATTATGCCCAATTATAATTTGAAAAAAAGTTATGCTTTAGAACTTGCTAATGATTTTCAATAGTTATTGCAGTTCATAGAATATTAAGCTCCGGATTTGAAACATGTGCCCATAATTTTCACATTGTAGGATTGTACCACTCTGACCATAAATAAGTTCAAACAAATTATTTTTATAACAATATTCTTATTGCTTCTTGACACTTTTATACCATATTTGGTCTAAATTAAAAAAATTTGAAGGGCATTCTATTGGTATTAATAGGTGTTACAAAAAATAAATATGAACTATTTGGAGTACTGTTTCATAGAACCTTTTTAACAAAAAATTTGTTTTTTATCATTATAAAGTACCTGATTTGTAATGCTTGCAAATGCGTAATTATAATGAACTGGTTGCCATTTAGGATTGATAATTAAACAAAATAAATGTGCTTCATAAGCATAATATTAATTATGCACAATACTAGTACTTGAAAGTTTTTTCTTTATTGTATGTAATATATTCCAATAATACAATTGAATCCTTGTTTTAGTTCAGATTTTATTTGTAGCTAACATTTGTCCATAATCTTTATCCATTAAAATAGTTTCAACATTTTGAATTTCATTTTCTTTTAAGTGCTAAACTATTTTGCAATTGCTTGTGTTTTATCACATTTTAGTTTAAGAAAAAAATATGACAAAAGGAATTCAAAACTATCCATAATTCCAATAACTGCATATAGTTCAAATTTTAATCAGTTTATATTATATGTAGTATTTACTACAATTGTCTTTGTAAGGTAAGCACCAGAAATCACCTGATTATGGTTTCACTAAGTAGCTGACCCCCCTACCCCCCACCTGATAATTTTTCTAAGCATCTAATTGGTTAAAATTTAATAATATATATATATATTAAAAATTGGATAACTTTTGATCTACTGGTCTGTTTTGGACGATTCAACTACCAAAATGTTCGTCTCAGTGAGACGATTCTAACAAGCCCAAAATCATCAAAATCCAATTACAGGATCCCAAGATCATTCAACTTTTGTGTAATTTTAATAGTAATTTTTAAAATTACTAAGTAAATTTATTTTTTATATTCAGACTTTTTAGTCAAGTCTGAGTCTGGTCTGGGTCTGGTCCGAAGTCTGCAGACTGGTCTGAGTCTGAATATATTTATATGTATTTTTTGGTGCTGAACAAGTTTACTTAGTGCATTTTGTTAGAATAAATTAGTAAAATTTTATGAATCATAAGATTTTATAGAATTTTATTAATAAAATTCTATAAAATCTTATAATTCACAAATTTTTATTAATTAATTCTAACAAAATGCACTAAGTAAACTTGTTCAGCACCTAAAAATACATTAAATCGGCAGGGTTGTTTTTATTTTACTTGAAATTTGGAGAAAAGATGCATAATTTTGGATTTTTGATCAAAAAAGTCAAATTTAAGCATCTTTTCTCCAAATTTCAAGTAAAATAAAAACAACCCTGCCGATTTAATGTATTTTTAGGTGCTGAACAAGTTTACTTAGTGCATTAAGTTAGAATTAATTAGTAAAATTTTGTGAATCATAAGATTTTATAGAATTTTATTAATAAAATTCTATAAAATCTTATAATTCACAAATTTTTATTAATTAATTCTAACAAAATGCACTAAGTAAACTTGTTCAGCACCTAAAAATACATTAAATCGGCAGGGTTGTTTTTATTTTACTTGAAATTTGGAGAAAAGATGCATAATTTTGGATTTTTGATCAAAAAAGTCAAATTTAAGCATCTTTTCTCCAAATGTCAAGTAAAATAAAAACAACCCTGCCGATTTAATGTATTTTTAGGTGCTGAACAAGTTTACTTATTGCATTTTGTTAGAATTAATTAATAAAAATTTGTGAATTTTAAGATTTTATAGAATTTTACTAATAAAATTCTATAAAATCTTATGATTCACAAAATTTTACTAATTATTTCTAACTTAATGCACTAAGTAAACTTGTTCAACACCTAAAAATACATTAAATCAGCAGGGTTGTTTTTATTTTACTTGAAATTTGGAGAAAAGATGCATAATTTTGGATTTTTGATCAAAAAAGTCAAATTTAAGCATCTTTTCTCCAAATTTCAAGTAAAATAAAAACAACCCTGCCGATTTAATATATTTTTAGGTGCTGAACAAGTTTACTTAGTGCATTTTGTTAGAATAAATTAGTAAAATTTTATGAATTATAAGATTTTATAGAATTTTATTAATAAAATTCTATAAAATCTTATAATTCATAAAATTTTACTAATTTATTCTAACAAAATGCACTAAGTAAACTTGTTCAGTGCCAAAAAATACATATAATTATATTCAGACTCAGACCTGTCTGCAGATTTCAGACCAGACCCGGCCGGACTCATAGTTGAGTCTGGTCTGAAGTCTGAAATTAGTAAAATTTAGAGTCTGAGTCTGGTTTGATCCTGGACCAGACCTGGACCAGACCAGACCCGGACTAACCTAGAAGCACTAGTCTCAATGAGACAAATCGAATAGTACCAAAATAACCTGATCTGATCGATATGGCACATGGTATTCATCATAGAACTTAGGTGCACCAAATTAGATATATCTAATTATTAATTGTTTATAGAATACAAATCTTTGTTGATCTTAGGATCCTGTAATTAGAATTTAGTGATTTTAGGCTTGTTAGAATCGTCTCACTACGGCGAAAATTTTGGTAGTTAAATCATCAAAAATGGACTAGTGGATCAAAAGTTATTCAATATTAAAAATTATATATATATAATAATATATATAAATATATATTTATATATATTATATATATTATATTATATATAGGACCTGATAATTGCTCTACCCCCATCTACCTAAAAAATCAGGTGATAAATAGCGCTTCCCTAACCTACTTGGTAATATAAATAATAAGGAGTTAAAAAGCTATCGAGTTTTGGTCTTGATAAAGAAGTTTAAAACTTGAATTGTTTTTCAAATATTGACGAGCTAATTCAATATTCTTTTATTGCAACTTTTTTAGCCCAATAGTAAACTTGATACTGAGTAACATATAAAAATCCATCAAGTTGCTGCTCTTTAATATTATTATAAAGTTGTGGAACTGTTAATAGAGTATTCTTAATAATGTAATCACAAATTTAAAAAGAAACTCCATTGCTTCAGATGGTGGATGAAGATAATGATAGATGTTTACAACCATCAAATTACAAACTCTATCTATATTAATTTGAACTGTACCATCACATGCATATCGATTAATTTTTGGCAATATGTTTCATCTACTTGAAATTTTAGCAACCATGGTTTTTTACGAGCTATT